TGAGTAACACCATAACATGGGACGTCAATGTGTATAGGTACCGTCAAAATATAGGACTTGAAGAACTAGGACTATCATCAGAATATATGATTTGAAGAGCTAGAACTATCATCAGAATATAAAACTTGAGGACCTGTGTATATGATTGAGTAAACCCGAGTTCAGTGCATATCTAAATCCGATTAGATCCTTATCAAAGTGTCAAAAAGGTCTCAGATAGCCCTTGATAGTAGACTTGAAGATATCCTGAATAGCCCTCCATAATGGACCAAAAGAGTCCAAGACATTACTTTACAGGAGAGCTAAAATGTCCTTAACTTTAACATTTAATATTTAAAACATTAATTTAAACTTTCATACTCTATTAAAGTGTTTTCAAAATTGAAATGCCACCCCTAGCTATGATCTTATGTTCTGTATCCTCTGTATCGTCGCTAGATCATTCGTATCCTCTGTATCATCGCTGGATCCTTCGTATCCTCTGGATCCTCTGGATCGCGACCGTATCCAGGATAGACGGAATCCGCTTTTTCCCCCTTGGTTTTTTCTCTTGAATATGTAATTCGATGTACAGTAAAACACCTTGCCACTGATCACTATTCCTGAGATGGCATTTGAAATCACCATAGAATCCAGATTGTGTCAAATAGCAGTCCGAAAGGACACAATTAAACCTCAAGCAAAGTGATTGAAGCATTGTTGATGATTATCTTAAATTTTGTTGAAGGTAAAAATGTCGATATTGATGAAACGGATTCACTTGAAAATTATTCTCATGATATATGCAAATAAGTAAAAAACACTTCTTTTATTTCTAATAATAGGTCGCTTGTAACACCCGTTGGATATGATAAAAGTTGTCAAGCAGTTTTAAATAAGCGTCTATGCCAATACGATGTAGTGAAAAAAACCAATCCAAGTATTAAATGTCGAGTTACTTCTGCAGTAGGAAGATAAATTATGATTCACACCATCCAAATCATATTCCTACTTCAATTGATTATGGTATTTTCGTGAAATAACTCTTGCAAAAAAATCGAAATATTTGTAGATATTTAGCCTTTTCTCTTTTGCTATTAAAAGAAACATATTGATCTAACTGTTGCTTTATATTTCAAAATTACTATTACAGAGTCACTCGTATAGATGAATTACATAAAAGTTTAAAAGCTAATAATTTAGATGTTTTGCTAGCACAATTAAAATATCATCGTTACTTACAAAATATTTCTCAAGTCGTTTTACTAAAAGCAAACACTTCATAAAATCTTTATATGAAGTCCCGACATCAACTGGTGCATGCTTTCATACTCTATTATTGATAGTTTGTGATTATAGCAATATTTTCATGATTTCATAATAGAGTCGGTTCAATATTTATGAAAGTACATCGATTTTTTTCTAGACTATAGACAAACAAAAAAAATAGACACACAGCATTCTCCTATTTATCAATAAAAGAGAAAAGCATTTTCTTTATAAACACACATTCAAATTCATGATATTAATCATATAAATCTATGAATTATATTTGACTAATTGATGTTTAATCTATACGACATGTTCGTAAAAATATTTCTTATTTTCATAAGCAATCGTCATGCAAGATTTCAAAGAACAGTAAAATAATTTGCCAGTATTTGTTTACACCGAAAATGAAATCAATTTTTATGCCAGTGTTGATGAAACATTTCAACATCCAACTTTAAAAATACAGTTTACATAAAAAGGGAATATTGTAATTGTGATAGTATCATTGATTTAGTTGCTGCTAGCTGTATGGACGATATTTTTCTGTACATTGAGTAGTATGTAAAACTAGACAAAATAAGTACAACACAGATAAATACAATTGTAGGGTGTTTTTCTATGATTAACAAATAAACAAACAAAAAAGTAGTTTTCATATCTTCGCAAAGGAAAATGGCGAAAATGTTTTATTTACAATGATCTGTACAAGAAATTTAACGATAACAAATGAATAGAGATATGAATCAGTTTATTTTCATTACAAATAACATTTATCTGAAAGAACTTGTTCTTAAACTTCCCATGATTTTCCAAAATCAATGGATGTTATATCTAATGCCATTGTGGAAACATTTCTCACAAAACAATTCAGACCTTGTGGTATCAATAATGATACACGTTGATCTGCTTTAAATGCATTCAAAATTGAATTTATTTCTCGAACAGATATAATATTATTTTTATATATTTCTACCCAATTTGGAGAACACGAAAATATATATGTTTCAATGCACGCACCAGATTCTTTTGCATTGGCATCTGTATAATCAATTGGCTTACTTAAGTTATAGTTGTTTTCTATATCACGTGATATGGTATGCATACTTTCATGAAAAAGTAATGTTAATAAATCCAATTGTAATAATTCCAAAGGTGGAGATGGATTATCATATTTATACTGTAACAGAAAATGATCAGCATTCACATAAATTTTTTTTCTTCCACTAAATCCTCTCAGTGGAAATGCTCTTCGAACTCGCACAAATTCAATGTCAATATCCTTAATTATTTTTTTTAGATCATTTTTATCAATTTGCTTTTTTGTTAAAGTAAAATATATTGTTTCAATAATACGAATAATTTGATTAGTTAACACGATTGTTTTTAATTCGTCAATGATATTTAAATTTAATCCTAATTCATTCAATATTAACTCTTGTTCTGTTTTTTGTATTGGTAAAACGTGTTTGATAATTTCTTGTATTTTAGTTAACTTTTCTACCTTGAATTTTGAAATATGTAAAATCAACAGTAATTCAGCTTCTAAATAATGATCTATTTAATCATCTAATAAAGTAGATATTTTTTTGACAGTAGATACATTCCATTCGTCATGTGCATATGATAGATATAAATTGGTTAATATAATCCTGCGTAGTGTGTTTATTGATGAATTATATTTTACAGTTAAATTTTTTGTTGGTGTTGCTTGACCAAATTTGAAAAGTAAATTTAATTTTATAGTTCGTTCATGTTCATTATCATAAGAATGTAAACTTTGTAAATATTGTTTGATATTGAATCTAGAACAGTGCAGCAAAATACAACACAAATATAGCCAATAAATCATATAAGTCTTATTTTGTAATATTTTTGTATGCATTTTTTTCAGAAATTTAAATGAAAACTTGAAGAAAATTTTCGAATGAATAGCGTGCAACTATTGAATTATAGAATTTTTAACCAAAACATCTGAAAAACAAGAAAAAAAAGCATGGTGTGTTTTGGATCACTAGGAATGTTCTGTGAGTTACTGAATTCGAATCATAATATAAAGGAGTCTTGCAGTGAATAAGATGTGTTCGAAAATAAAATAAAAAAGAGAGGCATGTTAGCATTTTCTGGGACAGAAAAAAAGTAATATGATGGCAACAATTACCAGCATCAAACATAGAAATAGATGAGAGATATTTGAAAAAAAGAAAATGATTTCTAATTCAAAAAATCATCTATCTCGTTATTCATTTTAGATCACATGCTCTCGTTATATTTCAAGGAAATATTGTTACGATGTTGCCTTCGACATTGTAAAAATCGATGGAAAAGAGTTAGTTGTGCTTTGTCAGAGTAAAACACTTTCCTGACTAAACATGAGCTTATAGTTGACGACTAGATTTTTTCTTGAATTAAAAACGCTTTTCTGTTAAAGACAATAAAATATTACCATTTAATTCTTCATCACTAATAATATCATCGGTTTTTTCTTCTGATCGGTCTGCATTTGAAGCAACAATTCGTTTTAAACGTTTGACTGATGGCTAAAAGAAAAAGAAAACTGGATGAAATTATTATCAATAGAGAATAAAATCATGCGTTAGAATTTTACACGATAGTAATACATAATGAAAACAATGTATCTTATTTTATTCAAGGTTTTTTTTACAAAAGCCGATTAGCATGTAATTAAACATTTCTAGATCAATCACTATGAGATACGTTTACGGAACATATTGTTCGACCCGGGTTCTTTCAAGTAAAGAGAATATACGAAACAAAAAATGTTACCTTTAGTTCAGTATTTTATACTTAATTGTTTATGAATTAGTGTTTTTTCAATATTAGGGATATCTGTCATACTTACATAATTTTCATCGTCGTTATCTGTTGTCATTGGTGCCATTTTCGTAGGTTGATTATTACTATCATCATTTGAGGATTGTGTTTCTATTTGTTTTTCTTCTTGTTGTTCATATTTTTTTGGCATTATCATTTTCTTTTTTATCTTTATGTGTAGAATCAGGATCAAACATTTTCTAAAAATTATCTCGAATAAAAAACTTAAATAATATTTAAATAAAATTAAAAAATATTCAGACGAATACGATTAAATAAGTGGCCATTGTTAGTAGTCAAGCTATTATGAGTATGTAATTACATATTTATATAATCAAATATTTGTAAGAATACAATAAAAAAAACCTGGCATCCATCAAAGTACATGAAAAACTTTTCTTTCAGGAAATTTAATCTTTACACGCTTGTTATCCTAAGAAAAACCTGTTGAAAAAAATGAAATTTTTTTCCGTTGTATCTAAAGGAAAAGAAATTGTTTGCTAAATTCATGCGGAATTTCCACAATTTTTTCACGTCTACTACAAACATTTTACAAAGTTGCTCATAGCTTAAATTTTTATTTATTTTTTGTTAATTTTGCAGAACACATCTCTTCTATTAGACATATTGTCACAGAAAGAATAACTTACCTTTTGATTGACCCATTCAACAGAGGATAAGCTATATTCCATTGTTTCATTTTATGCTTCATTGGTAGATTATCTGAATCTGTTTTTTTCTGTGTTAACAAAATTGTCAATGATAAAGATTTTTAGTGACTAAATTCGAACTCAAACTGTTGCTTATGTTTCTGATTAATCTATTAGTAATAAAATCATTCATCTTTTCGCACACTAGTGATCAGTCACATATTATTATTTTTTTCTCTCTTTCTCTCGCACGTGGTGTTGTTTATCTTTACTACTATCACCACCACATCTTCATCACCAACGATTAGGTGATGAAGATGATCCCGAATTCAACACCCCCACCAGATTTAACAACATTTTTCAATGGTTTCTCGAATGAAGAACTTCATCAAATTGGTTTAGCCCTTATTCAACAATCGCAACACTCCGTTCAATTGCAGCAACATATTCATCATCCAACGTCGTCACAACAGTCACCCCGTCGTCTACCTCGTCCTACCCGTCCGTCTCTCGAAACTATTTCTTCTATTCCTCCTCTTATGAATCATCAGCCAAATTGTTCAGAAGTACGTCCTCTTATGGAACAACAAACCACCCCTGTCACTTCCACTCCAAGACGTCCAGCTAGTGACAGTTTCGATAATAGTGATAGTAATCGTCAACGTATGAAAAAACGCCTGAGAATCAACGATCATCCACCTCGTAATGAACAAGTCGAACAACATCAGCTTCCTACACTCGCTCCTCCTCACCATCACCAACATTCTTTCAATATGAACGTTCTTAAACGGGCAGTTACCAGTAATCTACCTTGTTTTTTCATCATCTTCGATGCTTCTGTGGAGCCTAAAAATATTCCGTCCAGCATCCAAGTTGCTATTATGCTCAAGAAATTATTTGTCCAGAATCAAATTCCTATTAAGGAACTGTCGATGTGTGTACAAGCAGGTGAACGAAGATTTAAATTTGCTGTAGGTGATAAAACGGATTTTTTAACTCTGTTCAATTGGACCTGGCCTGAGGAAATTGAAGATAAAAAAGCTGAATTTATCAAACCTCACACTTTGCCTGATTGCTATGCCTTGGTAGTACGTTACGTTCCTTTAGATATTAATCAAGATATTGCTCGGCAACAAATCTTAAAGACAATTCCTGCTGCAGTTGGTTTCTCGTCTATTCATTATCACCATCGTCAACGGCCATCATATGATATTCGATTTACGGTTCGTAACCTCGAACAATATCAAACAGCTCGTGAACTAGGTAGATTATCGATTGGGCAACATTATCTACCTCTTACAACATTTCTTACTGGTTACCGTCTAACTTATTGTACTGCCTGCTGGAAAATCGGTCACTTCAGAGACAAATGCCAATCACCGGTCTGTTGTCGTAAGTGTTTAGTCCCATATACTAATGGAGTAAAGCACAGCTGTCAAAATGATACCTTTAACTGCGCTCAATGCAGTGGAAGCCATTTCTCCCTCGATTCAATCTGTCCTGTTGTAAAAAAATATAGAGAAGATCTTAAATTAGCTGTTGATAAAGCATTAAACTCAGGTGCAATCAAAAGATCAACACCAGGGGAAGTATCTCGTCCATTTCAACAACATGCAAATGACTTTCCGTTATTAAATCAAGCTAAGGTAAATAGTCATTCAGCATGGGCTACATCTGACAATGAATCTCTCCATTCTCATCTGAAAAAGGAGATGAGTGATCTTGTTGCAACGATCAAAGCTCTTTCAGAGACTATGATTCGGACGGAGAAATCCTTTAACGATTTGAATAGCCGTATCGAACTTCAACATAAAAGCACTTTACTCCATTGCAATAGTATATGTGCTATTATCGATACGGTACAAACTATGTCTAGATGGGTGCAGGGTAATAGTAATGAAAGATCCAAATTAAAGAAAAATATTATCAAGTCAATTGAAGATCTTCAAAAATGGAGAAAACAATTGGATTCGAACAAAAACAACGAATCCATAGCTTCCATTTCTTCTCCCCAACAAATTACAACTAACAACATCATCGATAACAACCATAACGGGGAAGTAGAAATAAATGACGATTTTTCAATGAACTCTCTAGGACAAGATGTCTGACTTCTCTTCTCTTCTTAATGTTCATGCTCGTCCCTTTTTTCCTCCTTCTACCTACCACCTTCCCTCATTGACAAAAACGTTTTTTGAAACAGCATTAGATAGACTGGTAATTTGGAAGTTCCCTATTAAAGTTCAAAAAAGAATTTTACCAATTTTAGAAGAATGGTACTCTAATTCTACTCTAGATAGTGTTCTAACAAAATGGGAGAACAACCCTTCCCCTTTATCTAACCAATTTATTCCTTTAAACGTTCTCACATATAATGTTCAAGGATGGGGTACTCGTGCCTTGGAAGTAATGGATCTAATTTTTAAAGTTGATAGCCCGGTATGCGTATTTACCGAAGTAGGGGAACTTTGGAACAGTTTCAAAGTTCCACATTTTACATCGTTTTACCAAAAAGGTACAAATCATAGCGGAGGGGTTATGATAACGATAGGAAAACATCTTCGAGCAACGAGAATTGATACTGATATAGAAAATACAGTAATTGTGGATATCCATGGTCTTTCTGAACAAATTAGAATAATAGGTATATACTGGCCACAGGGTCAAATGCGTAACCTAAAAGATCTATGCCCCTTCTTAGTAAAAGGTACTATTTTGACAGGTGATTTTAATGCAACTTCAGATGAATGGGGTAGCCAATCTACTGATAGACGCGGTAATTCTCTGAAGAAATGGATTGAAGAAAATGAGCTGACCTTTATTCCCACCAACTCTCATTCTTCTAAAAGATCAGATAGACACATTGATTTAACATTTACAAATTTGAACAGAGTCGAGAATGAAACAATATTTTACGGTTCAAGCGACCACTGGCCGACGGTTTTAAGATCTCAAAGCATAGGATTTATTTCCAACGGTTTTTTTCCGAACATCGATTGGACCATTTATCAAGCCATTCTAGTGCTTTTAGAAGATTTCTGGATAAATGAACAAAAAAAGGAAACTATTGATCATTGGTATCAATGTTATGTACGTTTCCTTGCAGCACTAAAATGCCGCTTGACTCGATGGAAAGAAAAAGAGAGATACCGACCATCTCTCCCTGCATACATAGTCGAAAGGCTCCGTGATGTTCGGCAAATTCGAAATAAATATTACAGAGACAGGAAAATAGCCGGTATTGGTAATGAAGATCTTAGAGTGCTGCTAAGAAATATGTCAAGAGAGGTTCGGAATGAGATTTACAATTATAGGTCAGCCAGATGGTCCAGCTTTCTGTCTACCATACAAGGTACGCATGATAAGCAGGAGAGTTCATTTTGGACCCATCTTTCAAAAATTTATAAACCAAAAACGTTACCCTTCTCCAAGTTATCAGTCGGGAGTAGTATCATATCAGACGAGCAGGAGATTACGAAAGAACTGTATAACTACTTTAAGGACTTAGCTAAAGCACCTGAAATTAATCCATTAAATCCTCACGATATTCAAATCGAGACAGAATTTAGAGAACTTCAGAACTTACTAACTGCTTCCAAGGACACAGGCTTAGAGGCTACATCCATATTGGAAGTCTCTAAAATTATAAAAAAGATGAAAGGAAAGAAGTCTTCAGGTATCGATCAGGTGTCAAATTTTATTATTAAGTTACTTCCTCCGACCTACATAGAAAGTCTAGTCAATTGCTTCAACTTTTGGTTAAAAGAGGGGAGGTATCCAGGTTTCTGGAATAGCTCGAAAATTATTACCCTCAATAAACTTAAAGCTGGTATACCACGTTGCAATCAGACTAGACCTATATCTCTTTTAGCGACCCATTCCAAAATTTTTGAAAAAGTGCTTCTCGATCGAATACGAACTTGGGCTGAAGGCAATCATCTAGTGCCGCGTGAACAATCAGGGTTCAGAACGAACTGTCTTCTCCAGACTAGGGTTCTCTCCATTTTTCAGGAAGTGCAGAATAATCTAGCTGCAAATGTCCCTACGCTTGCAATATATGTTGACTATGAAAAAGCTTTTGACTTAGTTTGGCATTCGGGTCTCTTGGTCAAACTCTACAGGTTAGGTATACCCACTAGCCTGCTGAGAATGATTTATAGCTGGCTTAACAACCGCTCAGCGTATATTTACTATGGTCAAACGAAGTCAGATGTTTTTCAAGTAAAGGTCGGTCTTCCACAAGGCAGCAGTCTCAGTCCCTTTATCTTCGTAGTATACCACAGCGATTTAGTAGCTTGTCTAGGAGCCCACTCAAGTCATATCTTTGCTGATGACCTGAGTGTGCTCATTCGAGCACCCATCCAAAAATCCTTCTCATCTCTAGTCAAATATTTAGAGGTTGAAGGAAGTAAAGTATGCGACAGGATTGCCGAATATTCGATTCGCTGGAAGCAACCAATCAATATCGGCAAAACTGTTGCACAAATCTTCTATTCGCAAATCAGAAAGCCCACGGTAGACATATACATGCTAGGACAGAAACTTGCCATTGTAGACACGTTCAAGTATCTTGGGTTTACTTGGACCAGTAAATTATCATTGAGACCCACTGTAAACAAAAGCCTCGAGAATATCCAAAGATCGTTAGGTAAGCTCAAATGGCTGCGTAGCGGCAAGATTTTGTCCAAGGACACTTTGAGAAGATGCTTCTTCGCATATATATTTCCCCACTTTGCTTGGATCTTTCCTTTTTTCCCCTTTCTCCCCACAACACACCAAGAGGCACTTAGAAGAAAATATAGAGTAGCAATACGCTTAGTTCATCGGGCCCCATTTGTCCGCGCTGAGGATCTTTTGAATCTTACTCGAGAAGAACCGCTTGATAATTACGTCAAACGCTACATCACGAAAAGATTAAAAAAGATTTGCTCTTCAGATTTAGGTTCTTCTTTATTTCTTGAAGATGTATTCTTGTGGGATAGTTTCCACAAGCAAGCTAAAGATGGTGTTGGCCATCTATTTATGTTGAAACGTGTTAAACGTTTAAAATTAAAACATCGCTCCCTTCTCCTAGACTGGCTTGATTTTAATGAGCAAAGTGATAATTAGATAATTAGAACTATGAGAAAGAAGGAACACGAAATCGCAGTTCATTAGCATAGTTTAGCAGGTAGTTAATTAGCAGCTCCTTAACATTCTACCTCAACCCTTACAACTCCCACTACTTGTATTCTCTGTCCATCTTGTTACCGATGTCATTTGCTTTACTGTAATTTATACATGTTCTTCTCTTTTGTTCTTTTGTTCTTTTCCTTTTTATTCCTTTCTTTTTTGTTTTTTCTAAAAAAACAAATCTTGTTATATTCACTAGACCGCTAATTGATCTTTTATGTTGTCGTGTTACATCGTATATGCACCGACAACATTTATTGACGATCTTTTATATTCGACATACATTTTTCACTAGAAAATAACGAAAATTCTATATTGAATATCTTCTTGTGATGGTAAGAAATTTTGATTATGAAAACAAATAAATCAACATATATTTATGAGTCAATGAAAAGTATTTTAAATTAGCAAGTTTATTCTTGAAAAGACGAAAAGGACACCTTTACAATTCATTATTGTTGATAGAAGAAAAGAATCAAATAGTAAATGATAAATTTCAATTTTGACAATACGAAAAAACTTCTATTTGCGTTAGTCTAGAGCAAGCAGACGTGGTACATGTTTTTCAATAATGTTCATTATTGAAAGTATCGAAAAAAATATTTTAATCAGTAAAATGATCTCTAATCGCTGTTAGATCCAAAATCTCAATGAGAAAACATTTTGTTCTTCAACATTATCAAAATGAATAGTCACAAGTATTGTAGTTAAATGTGTTTGATTTAATGTAATCGTCATACAATAATCAGTTCCTATCAACACTAACACTAGTCAAATGAAATAAGCGTGAGTAGTTCATTTCGTTTTCGGATTCACATTATTCATGAATACGTAGATATCTAAAATGATTCATTTATCCTATAATTATATTTCAATTTAGTTCGACGTTGTGAATTACTGCATATGAAGAGTACGGTTGTTTTATTGCAGTTATATAATATGTTTGTCATCAATGAATATCATTTATTATTGTAATGCCTACAAATTAAAAATTGCGCTTGATTGATGACTACACGGTTAGAGAATAACTAATGTGAAAAAAGTTGATCGTAAAAATTACCACAGAAGAACAGTCCAATCTATCAGTTTCATTTTTGCAACTTTCGACGAGTAGTATCTAGATAAAAAAAGCAGTATAATCTTCGCGAAGCGACTCATTGTGCTTTTTATTGTGAAAAAGCATATTTTCTATCCATTACTGGTTTCTTCGTATTATGATATTTCAGTGTCGGGAAGTAAATCGTCCGAAACAAGGTATATATGAGCGAGTATATTCTTGAATAAGTTTGTTGGTTCATTAGAAATATTTTATTTTATTCGTGAAGTTTTGCTTATTCAGTGTCACTTAACATAGAAGAGACTAAACTATATAACTTGTACCATTTCGTGCAGTCTGTCATTCTCATGATCTGAATTTGAATCAATTAGTTGATTTTCAGTACTATCATCAAATTTAACTATTTTTGTTTTCGTTTTCGTTTTTCCATTAGGTTTTGTTTCCGGTAAATCTTCTTCAAATTATTTCATTAAATCTAGACAATGTAAGTACATTACTTTTATCTTCCATGATATGATCAACATCGAAATAAACTTTCCATTTTAGTTTTAGAAGAAATTAAATATTTTCACTCTCCGTTAAACAAAATATAAATGCTCAACAATGACGGATAAAACTGGAAAAACACGATCAATGCTAGCATACACATTATTGTGAAGAATCAGCTTGCAAAAAATAAGTCCATTCGTTTATATTCTCCTTAGGTTAATGAATATTGAGAGTGCTACTGAACGAAAAGTGATATTCGGGAAAACGTAATGTGGTTTTATAGTGTGCATAAACAGATCGTTCTCATTGGAGAAGATAGCATCAGTAATCTATTCATCATCTTAATTTTCAAAAGAAAAAGGAGAATTTTAGAAAAAAAATGAGTTTATCTTTTGAAGCATGGTATTTGAATACACGTTATTTCGCATAGATTCGTACGATTTCGTCATCACAACATGTATTTAATTAGTAAAGATCATTTACCTCTTGGTAAGTTATAAAAAGGAAGTTTATTCTTGGAGATGCAGAGTATGAAATCATTTTTCTCTCAATTCTTTTTATATCAGAAAGATTTTTCTTATTACAAACTTCCCAAGAGATAAATAATCTCTACGGATCAAAATACATGTTGCGATGAAGAAAATATGCAGGTTGATCACAACATCGACTTGCTAGAGCAACACTTTCATGTATAAATCAAGAAAAATTGTAAGAGATTATGTTGAATAGAGAAACATGTGCGTGACAAAAAAAATCGACTGTTGATGTGCACTGATATACGAAATTAACAGACTCAATGTTTCATTCACAAGAAGGAACGATAATGTAGTAGTAGTATAGTGCTTTTATTTATGCTATGAGCGAACTTCGCTCCTGTAGCCTGAATAAACAAACAAACAAAAAAAACATCTTGAAATAACTTTTGCTGGCGACCAAAAATTAGGATGAAAAAAATAAAAGGGAAATGAGAAATGAAAAGAGACTTGAAATAGTATCAATCAAGAATTACATATGATGTAGAAAGATGGTAAAAAACCACATGATTTAACTTAGTGATAACATAAAATGTGGTCAAATAGAGATAGATGATCTTCAGTCAGCAAATTACGAATACTTTTGCGGATTCTCCCTCTTTCGAATATTTTTCTTCTTTCATTAGCTAGCGTAGGACTAGATAGATATTCATGTAGGTATAAAATCGATAACTTATTTTGTAGAAAATCTTCGATAACGCTTGGATTCGTTACGAGTATTGTTTGTGTTAATTTATCCCAATGCATGTAGGTTAATTTCGAGATAGACTTGTATTTGGGAAGATTTTCAATTTCAATAATTCTTGCATCGAACCATCGATGTATTGATCTAAAGATTTTTCGATTGATACCTTCAAGTTGTTTCTGTTTAGTAAGCGAAAGAATAGGAAAAAAATTTAGTATTGATTGAAGGTACGGTCTAATGAATGCATTATACAGTTTATAATTAATTTGTTCACTCGTCATGCGAGTGAAAGCTAGTCGTTTGTATATATTCATATTGATGCGAATTTTAGCTTGGATGTAATCAATATGTTCAGTAAATGATAGTTTAGCGTCTAATATTGTACTAAGATATTTGAATTTCTTGACATGTTCAATATTGTGCCCTTCACATATAATGCTTGGAAAAAGTGGAACAACTTGACGATGAAATAGTATCCAATTCGTTTTACTGAAGTTTATTGGTTGCTTCCATTTGATTGAGTATTTAATTAGGCGAAGAAGTACATGTTTTATTTGTTCCGTTAGTGTGTTTATCATTTGTGATGAGGACGTATATGGAGATGGTGAAAATAAAACTGCAAGATCGTCAGCAAATAAGTGTTTCCAATGAATAGTTGATAGTGCTTCAAGAATATCATGATGATAAATTATGAAGAGCACTGGTCCGATACAGCTACCTTGAGGAACACCTTTAGAGAGATTGAGCATGGTCGACGATGTGCTTTTGATATTAATATATGCTTTTCTTCCGCTTAAATAATGACGAAGCCATGCGATTAGATATAATGGACATTGTAAATTAGATAGCTTTAACCATAAACCATTGAACCAAATTTGATTGAAAGCTGTACGGAAGTCGACGAAGAGTGCAGCAGCTGCCGTGTTCTTTGCCAAGCTTTGTCCTATTTGATCTATAATAGCAACAATTCGAACGGCCATATTATGTCCTGGACGAAAACCAGTTTGCTCAGCAGGTAGAATGCCTTGTTCATTTATCCACTGACGAAAGTGTATCAAAAAACATTTTTCAAATAATTTTCAAAAAACATGGTAGTAACGAGATTGGTCTCGTTTCATCAATTGCAATAACTTTTGATTTTTTTTTCGATAGAAGAATCATTTTGGCAACATGCCAATGCGACGGCGTTTGCAACATAACTGCAAAGTTGTTCAAGCATGAGAGAATTATAGAGAGATGATTTGGAGGTAGTAATTTTATTATTCGATTTGATATCCCATCAATACCGGTCGAGTTTTTGTTTTTCAAAGAAGCAACTGAACGACGAAGGTGTTGATAAGTAATTTGTATTGGAATAGGTGGTTTATTCCTCAAGGCTTCTTCAATTTCAATATCAGCATTATTAGCTTCAATCTCTGTTTCTGACTGCATAAATTGATGGCTGGAAAATTGTTCTTCATAATATAATTTGGCAATTGTGCACATATGCATTGGCGAAGAGGCGATTTCATTGTTAGCGATAAAGCCTTCTATTGGTGCAGACTTGGAAATGAAGTGACGTTTTGCTTTTTTCCAAAAAGCTGTTGTATCACAATCATTCAACGAATTACAGTAGGCTAGCCATGATTTTCTTTTGTGGAGAAAAAGCTGCTTTTGTATCAATTTTGCCATATCCCGTAAGACCCGAGCAAAATAAGGATGTCGGGTTTGTCGAAATGATTTTAGATAACGACGTTTTTGATCAATCATAACAACTATATGTGGTGGTAGAGAAGGTCTGATTGTTTTGCGAAAGGTGATGGTGGTAAGACGCGATACGCATAACGAAAGAAAACGTTCGTATAATACGAAAAAAGCCACCGAATGCGACATTGAAGTAGCTAACTTGTGCCAATATAATCCTGTGCACGTAAGAAAAACTTCAAGTAGGTTCCAACGAGTTCGCTTGATAGGATAGTAGTGAACGGTAGATGACATTTTAAATGATGGGTGCCATAGAACTGGATGATGATCATTTCCGATGGTTGCCAGAACCGAGAAAGATTTAGATGACATATGCGTGGGTGCAATGATGATATCGATTGTTGCAGTTGATCGAGTTGAGGTAGGTACGTATTTGTTGATGATTTCGAGAGAAGTATGTGCTTGCGATGATGATAACCAATTGAATAATGCTCGTCCTTTTCGATTTTCGATTGATTTAGACCAAGAACTATGTTTGGCATTCAAATCACCGGTGAATATAGAATTTGGATTATGTTGAAGTAAACGATCGAATAAATCGAGAGGAATTGATTCGGCAGGTGGAGAATAACATGTAACTAATTGAAACATGTCGGTATCCGATCCGATTTCGAGTACGATAATATTTGGTAAGTTATTGAATTTAGCTACGCGTTGAGAACGAATTGATTTGTGTACTGCAATCAAAACTCCACCAAATACATTCGATCCTTTCATTGAGAAAACATTGAAATTGAAGAAATGAGAAATAAATTGTTTAACGGAGTTTTCATCATGATGTGTACCATTTAATACTACAATTGGTGGTTGCATAGAATCGACTAAATTAATGGCATCGATAAAGTACCGGTTCAAACTAGAAACATTAAGAAGAAGAAGAGAAACGTTTTGTTTTATAATCATCATAGAATCAGCTTTATCACGATGATTTGACCAATTATCAAGTAGAAGATCAAGTGTGGGGGTATCTGTCCATTCGTGTAATAAGTCTTGAAAGATATTTAATTCGGCTTTTGTCAATAGATCGGCTAGGATTGGATAGGATTTCTTTTGATTTGGTTTAAATGTTATTGCTGATGGATTCATTAGATGAAGAATTTGGCAATGAAACATGTGATCGTGAGCTAAAAACAATTGATTTTGTTGCTTCATTCAAGTCATGCTTGAATTGAAAGAATAATGGGCGTAGTCTATCTTTTTCTACTTGTTTATTTTTTCCGAGAAATGCATCACTCAGTTCACAAACAAAAGAACGAAGTCTGTTCATAAGAAATTCTTTTGTTTCATTGATTTGTTTATTACATGAATTTATAAGTTGATTTGCGTGGTTTATACTTGAATTCATCTTTGTTTGTTCAGATGTAAGATGTTCAATTTTGATCATGAGTAAATCAAGTTTCTTCGAGATATCTAAGAACGCACTTGTATCAACACGTGCTTGAACGGTTTCAATTGAATTAGATGTAAGACCAGGTAGATCACGTTGATGTTCCTTTGTTGCCCAAACGGATGAAGAAAAAGTTTGTTGTTTTTTTTTGTTTTGTTGTTGATAGATGAGGTGATACTATTTTGATATTTTCTTCTTTCATCGATTTTTATTGGACAATTTGGACTACCAGCCAAATGATCCTGATGACAATTGGCACAGCATATTTTGTTACAGCAATGTGGATTATACGCATGATTTTGACCACAACGAAAGCAAGTGGGGTTGTCCTTGTGTGGGCAGTTGATAGCAATATGATCATTGTACTGTTGACAATTGAAACAACGTAATATTCGAAGTGATGCGGCGTACAGTTGAATTGCGAATGATATATTCTCGTCGTCTAATAATAATCGTTTGTTCTTGATAACTTTATTGACTTCTTCATTTGACGAAAAGTCAATTCGTACTTTTGAAATTGGAATACCACCATTAACATAAAGACGTTCAATTTTGATGATTGTCGGATAATGCTTTTTAATGTCTAATTCAAATTCAGCTAGATTCCATTGTGCAGGAACACCTATTGCTACAATAGAATAAGAAGAAGGAACTTTAGAGGGCAAATCGATTGAACAATCAAGAGAACATATCTGCATCGACCATATATTTTTATCCATTAAGCGATCGAATTGTTCACTTGTATTTACATATAGAAGAAAACTTTTATTACGTCCTGCTGCAGCATAACGTCCATAAGAAAGACTGATGCGGCAGTGCTTGTTGATGTCTTTAATAATTGATAATTCTGATGGTGTTTCATCGGCAGTAAAAGTAATACGAAATGGTGGAAACGACGGACGACGAGCTGTTGGATTCGAAACATTCTTTGTAGAACCAGCTGTCGTTGTGTATGGAGCTTGACGAAAATCACTGTTGTTGAAGTATTGGTTACGTACGTTGACCATACGATGTTCGAGTTCGAATGAGTCATCGCCTTCCTTTGACCTTTTTTGAAACGTTTCGTTTTGATTGCTGTTGGTTTGTTGTTGGTGAATCGATTCTTGAATCAGGATTTTCCTCCTGATCACTAATCGTGGTACTAAATTGATGAGGCTTATTGCCTCTATTGCTCATTAACATTATTAAGAAAATGAGTATGAGTCACTGTCACGTAGTATCACAAGGAATGAATACTCCGGACAGAGAAGAACGGAAGGAAAAATAGCGACTATACTATACTGGCTTCAAATACGAAAAAAAAGGTAAGATTAGCAATCGTTATTGTATACTATATGAAAATTGGAAATTCTCAAAACAATATTTTTAATATGAAGGAATGTCGTAATTGATGTGTAAAAAATAAGATCACTATTTATCTCAATCACTACCCACGGAAAAAATTTCACTAAAAAAACGCGGTAAACCGCGGTATTCAAAACCGCGGTTTCAAGCGGTATTTGGAAAACGCGGGAGTCAGACCTTTTAGGCGTCTCTAAAAAAACCGCTGAAAACCGCGTTTTTTTAAAATTGAATAAACGGTCTGACTACCCGGGTGTTTTTTAAGCGC